ATTTAAATTTATTATTATGTATTATTTATATTTTGCTCCAATTACTCAACTTTTTTTAAATATTTTTTTTGTTTAGATTCTGAAACCATCAGAGAAGAAAGCAAAATATCAGTATATGGGCCTTAATACAACTCGTACAAATGCTACTCAACGACCACAACCTCGACCTGCTTGATTATTTTATGACTACTTCCTGTTCGATCTGATTCAACTTTGGTTTTATCCACTTATTTTCATCTATCTTAGCACCTTCTTCCGTCTTTCCTAGCTATCCTTCTAATTGCCTGCTGGGATTTTCGTTTAAACCTTTTATCCCTATGATGAGTGGGTCACAATTTTTTTTGCATCACTGCTTCACTTGTATATATCTTGTCCTTGTCAATGCCGACCTACTAATTCCTGGCTAATTCAATTATTCTCTATATCCTTTGTACTTTCGGGTTGTCTTTACTCACGTCACTCCATTGTGTTACCCTTTCTTGACAAGTAATTCTCTTTAATTGATATTTATCTCCTCAAATTCAATACTGATTGTATTCAAATGTATTAGTGCATTTGAATATTAGTTAGTGTTTTGTATGCGTATGTGCAAGTTTGCATGTGTGCGTTCTTATCCTCCTTCAATTATGTATGCTTATCTGCCCAATCTTTCATCCTACATGCTATTAAACAGTATCTGTCTCAATAAGTGAACTTTTTCCCAACTGAGCCCATAATTTAACTCTTCTATCCACCTACGAGCATAATTTAATATTACTTCTCAATTTTCATTAACTGTTCTCTATGAAGTGATGAGTCAACGTACAAATTTTCTGTTTACCAAATAACTCGAATGATGTATCTTCTGTTTTACGCCTACTCAACTCATTGGGCCGCCGTTTACTCGAATCCTCTCTTTTTCTGCTTCAGTCATCTAATCGGATCCCATTTCATTCCCTCATTAATCTTTAACCCATTTTCCCCCCCATCTTGTCCTTTACTAGCTTTTAGCTATCGTACTTATCCGTGATATTATGAGGCAATTTCATATCATTTGACATTCTCCGTTGTCGCTTAAACTTACGCTTCTTAGGGAATCGGTTTTGTTTGAAGCGAACTTGCCTCGTTGCTTACCCGCATCTTCTACGCGCGTAACGATGTTAGGCGCTTCTGATTGGATATTTACCTTATCATCCTAACTGTATTTTGATTGTTTTCTAATGGCGTTCACCCAAATTGGTCTAATTCAAGTCCTCTAACCTGGAAATACAAAATCCTTTGCTCATGAAATAATTCTTTCAACGGAGTACTTATCTTCTTGTCTACTTGTTCAAGGTAGATGGCATACTTTCTCATTGCAAAGCTGATTATAGTCAAATGAATTCCCAAATGTGCATATTTTGCTAATGGTGCTTTTGTAAAATTACAATGCTCATCTTCAATTTTCTCATTACTTCAAAGCTGCTAATAATTGAAGTTTTATAGATCCCATTTTTACCCAGTATTATTGGGCGAGTCATTGATCTTTTTTTCTCGGATGTAATTATAAAATTACACAGACCAGGTATGCGACCTAAATGGATAGATAAAGAAACTGACAAATGTGATTTGTTAACCGGGGCTCAAGGAAGGTGATGAAAAAAGAAGCAGTTGTTAAAGAGCAAACTAAAACGGATGCTAAGGGTCAGTTTAAATGAATAAGATGGGTGAGGGGAGAAGATAAACAAGTTGAGTAAACCAGTGGCTTGTGTTCCTTTTCATTCACCGGTCAGTTCGCGCCTTCATTGTTAAAGGTGTTATTGTTTGTTTTTGTTTGTTGCTATGCGACCGTTGAGGCGGGGTCTACGTCCACTTTTCTTTCGCTGCAACTTACCCCAGGCCCGGTGAACTTTTGGCCATATCGCCATGTTTAAGCAGTTTATCCAGTGAGTCCCACTATTTTATTACGCCACTGCTTGTTGGATCAACATTTCGTTTCTGTTTATAAGCTGGAAAGAGAAAGCTTTTCATACCTATATTAAGATTTCGCTATCCTTATACCAGCTTTCACGAAGATTACATTGATGCACGAATTATTGGTCTTCGAAAATGTGCAATTTTGTGCTCCTACATCATCATTGCGATTGTCGGTTTAGCACATGTCTGGGCTACCTGTCCACTTCCATACCGACTATGGGGAAGGTACTGTGTATAAATCACTTTCAATTTACTCGCCCAAGGTTTGAGTTGGCTATTCTCGCTTTTTTATTTCAAGGTCTGAAATTATTTTACGTCATGGCGCTATAAAAACTGCCCAACCGGATCAAATGGAGCGGATATAGCTCAGTCATGGTTACGATCGTTCAGAGGATTTATGAGGCGAATCTGGGTTGTATGGAATCCAAATTCACCAATTATTCGTAGCCAACTTCCTTAGGGATTGAAATCATGTCAAAATTGTTGTGTGGATTAATTGATGGACAGGTCTTGCTTCTGGGACTGTCTTTTAGTGCTCATTCGGCCATGATCAGTTTGTAAGTCTCGACTCCACCAAACGATCTGTCGAGTTCACTTTCATCTGATTCTGGCTAATAAGGATTGTATATTGTGACTAGTGACAGCCGCATGAAAAAGACTTCACCCCAGGTAGTAAAAAGTGAGGAAGGACGGATAGTTTAATTTTTTGACAATCATATCATTAGGCCTCATATTTACACAGAATTTCATTTGGCTCTGCTTCCTGAAGGGTTTTTAAATAAGGGCTAAACTGGGTCGCTACGTCACTGCCGGAGAACATTTTATTGCGGGAATGCCAATAAGACAGACAAATATTTTCCACCACAATCATTAGACTACTTATATTTATAATTAGTAAATAATACAAATTTAAATTCGTAAATAAATGAATTATTCTTATGAATAAAAAGGGATTTATGTTTTCCCGTGTGCAAACTCGCTTCATCCGACAAGACGATCGGAGGCCAAACACCCCGCGCCCCTTGATCAGGTCGTGGTTGGTGTGTTTTCTGGCGACACAGCTGTCGGCCAGTGCACAATTTCGAGCATACTTTACCTACTCCAGACGCCCGGGACTCAATCTGCTATCTCGACGATCGGCCGACTCCTCGTTTGGACGAGTCTCTCGACCGCCGACCTTCCGACTTGGCTGACTGAGAGTCGCCTTGTACAGCTGATGGAATGGGACCCGCTACACGCCGGGAAGTCAGGAGACAACGAATCTCCAGTACGTGATCATCTTCTATCAGGCCTCCCTGTCTGGCCAAGCCTGGTTGATTAAAAATGCCGCTCGGCTGGCATGAACGCCCTTCGGGGTAGGGTGCATCAGGTTTGACAGAGATGAACTAGTGAACACGTTATTAGGCTATAAACCTCGTAACCAAATAAACCAGATTCAGGTGACGAGTGAACGTACTCAATAAGTGGGTCAACTTGTGGACGCGGAGATACAATGCGTGCCTTAATCCAAGAGTGATGTATAGGCTTTCCAGCAATTAGCCAACATTTTCATCGCTTACTCAAACATATTTTTATTGGCCATTAATTTAATTTAGCTATCAATTCTATTTAGTAGCTAATTTCTTATTTATCTTATCTTATTTTAATTCTTTTCGTCAATCCTAATATTTAATTTTATTTAATTTATCCTTTGATATCATATC